CTTACACTCATTCACTCACTTACACACTCACACCACACACACACACACACACACACACACACACACACCCCAATGCCTAGTATTTTCAGCTTCCTTTGACTTCTTCAGAACAGATGTGACCATGTCAAACAGCAACCAACAAAGCCTACGCAGCTTGTGAATTCATTATTTGTTGGTAAGTTCTGACACTGACATGCTGGGAACATAGACACATGAGTGTGGAAAAGATGTGGGATAGAATTCAGTAAAACTGCAGTCCCCAAAGATTAACTGATGAGAGAGATTCCCTGGGGGTATGACGTTGAAGAGTTTAAAAGAAGGTTGGTTAATGCTCAAATTTCTTTGCCGTGTAGCCATGTTAAACCCCTTCAAGTGTCCCAAAGCTTCAGCAAAATGATCAGATGGAGCACAGCCCATAGCCCAGAGACTAGAGAAGGGAGAGCATCCGGGTCACTGGTTCTCAGCCAGTGGGCCAAATAATTCTTTCACATATTTACATTATGATTCAGAATGATAGCATAATTACATTTATGAAGTAGGAACAAAATAAAGCTATGGTTGAGGCCATACCTTGTGGAACTGTATTAAAGGGTTGCAGCATCAGGAAGTCTGATAGCTACTACTCTAGATGATACCAATGGTATTTTGATGTGGAGCCTGCAGAGGGCTATACAGAAGCCGGAAGTCAGTGTGGAGGCCAGAAGACAGGTGTGGTCAGCATGGAAAAAGTGTACAAAGAGAGGTGGTGGATCAACACTGCTATAGAAAGGGGTGCATGCCAGCATTCCTGACAACAACCCAGGTGCCTGTGGGTGCACTGGGTTTATCCCTCACCTGGAACAGAGGGTTTTGATATAGCAGGTAGCTAATATTTATGTGGTTATCATTTATTATCCTAGTCTGTTGTGGGAGCTGCAGGCTGTGTTCCTGCCACCCTGGCTCCCGGCCACCTGGCTAGCTTATGCTCCGAAATAACAACAGACAAATTGTATTCTTTTAAACACTGCTTGGCCCATTATATCTAGCCTCTTCTCAGCTAACTCTCGCACCTGGACTAGCCCATTTCTAATAATGTGTATAGCACCCCAAGGTGTGCTTACCGGGAAGATTCTAGCCTACGTCCATCCTGGGTCGGAGCTTCATCGCGTCTGCCCCTGAGAGCAGCGGCCTAGCATCTGAGCTCACTTCCTCTTCCTCCCAGCATTCTGTTCTGTTTACTCCACCCACCTATGTTCTAACCCATCAGGGCCAAGCACTTTCTTTATTAATGAACCAATGACCTTCCTCCATCACTAGTCACTGCTGACCCATCACTCCAGCCCCTACCTATTCAGTTTTAAGACAGAGTCTCACGTAGCCCAGGATGGCTTTGGAGTAGCCTATGGTGATTCCCCGCCTCTTCTCAAAATTATACCAGCAGTTGGAGAACAAATTTCCCACTCTCAAGCCTGGGAGACATTTCTTATCCAAGCCAACCACATGGTTGGAACCATCTTCGAGTGTGCCATGCAGTAGTGTCTCCTGCATTCACAGCACTGTGCAAAGATGCTTTGACCTTCTCTCCTGGCTGCACAGAAACTCCGCACATTTGACACATCTCTATTTCCCTTCCCCACAGCCTTGGATATTAATAAAGTTTTTAAAGACACATTTGTCTCCTTCACTACTCTAAGGTATAGATTGTTCCTAGTGCTTGTCGCTTAGTGTGTGCCACATCAATGCCTACTGGGTGAATTCAAGGAGAAAAAAACAGGGAGCGTTATGGGAAGTGGTGGCATTCACCTCGGAAACTGAGGGGCACAGCTGACAGTGGCATTACATCTCCAAACTCTCTCTTTACAATTCCTCCTTCGGATTAAGAACTGACTCAGAACCACAGTGTAAGCCCGCCCTGGCTTCTCAGGTGGTCCAGTCTTCTGGCAGTTTATGGTCCCATTTTAGACAGTGAACATACCTGGTAACTTTTAAAGATCCAGAATTCCTGTCCCCTCCTCACCTACTCATGATTCTGACTTGAGGCCAATTAGGATTTTGAAGTTCTCACTGGGGCAGAAAGTCAGGGAACTGTGTTTTCCTTTGGCAGATGTTTACACCCAGACTTTTGATCCCTATGATGACTCCATGTGATCCAGATCTAGTGAATGAAACTTTGCTGGATCTACTGAAAAACATTTTTGCTTTTCTTTGAACATATACAGATGCCCGTGGTGTTGTACCCACCTCTTTTTCTGTCTTGAATGTGCAAATGGCACCTTTGCTCTGACAATCATCTTGTAATTGTGAAACTCCAAGCAAAACAAAACAACAAAACCCTAACAAATTAAGAATGGAGAAAAAGAAACTTGGAAAGAGTATGAAACTTTAATGACATTGTTTGGCCCTGAGACTGTCCATCGTTTCTTGATAAGTAAACAATAAATGTTACTACAGGTTATACCACTGAAGTCATTGGTTTGTAACCTGAGGGTTGGAACTCTCCTGGGATCAAAGGACTGCTGTGGGAGTTCCTTATGCTCGTTCAGCCAATAGCCTTTAAGATACTACCACTTGGGTGTGGTCTCATACTGTAAATGCAGCTGTAAAGTATGCACTTGCTCTCTTACTCATGGCTCTTGCTTCTGGCTGTGAGACTCTGTCCCCTTTTGTGCAAAGGACTGTTATCTAGGACAGTGATCTGTAAGTTTCCCCTAAATAAATAACCCTTTATTATTTACAATTCTGAACTGGTGTGGGATTATTTTGTGACTTCTGCCTTCATCTGGCACCCAACATGGGGCTATTGAGCATTTACTGTGGAAGGACGGTCCATTGATATCTCCTAGTAGGCTGAGAATTATGATAAGTAGGCACTGTGAAGGCAAATTTTTCTCTATCCTTTTCTTGTAAAGGTATAGTGAAGAAACAATTATTTAAATCAATAACTATGAGAGGCCATCCCTTTGGTAACAGAGAAGGTAGAGGAATTCCAGATTGTAGAGGGCCCATAGGTTGAATAACCTTGTTGATAGCTCTAAGATCTGTCACCATTATCCATTTTCCAGATTTATTTCTAACAACAGAAGAATTTATAACAAGAGAATTTCAAGGGCTGGTAGATTCTTCAATATGTCAAGCATCTAGTTGCTCTTGTACCAGTTGTTCTAAAGTCTGCAGCTTTTCCTCAGCTAGAGGCCACTGTTTAACCAATTTTCTCAGTTAACAATTTTAAAGACAGGGCTGTTAGTACCTCTGGAGGTTTATCAATTGCTTTGTGTTCTTGTACAGCCCAAATGGCTGGTGACCATTGTCTCTAATATCTTCGAATATTTTCCCCAGAAACAATTTTTTTGGGCTGCAGGAATGTTAATCTGGGTATTCCATTGCTGCAATAGGTCACAGCCCCACAAATTCCCTGCAATATTTGCTACATATAGCCTCAGTCTTCCTCTCTGTCCTTCTGGCCTTATGCATTCAAGCCATCTAGTGCTTTGTTTTACCTGAGATAGGGTTCTAATTCCTAGGAACTGAATATCTACCTCTTGAAGAGGCCAATTCGGATGCCAAGATTCTGGAGTAATGATTCTTACATATGCACCCTTGTCTAGCAAACCTTCAATAAAAATGCCATTTACACATAATCTTAGTTTTGGTCTTTGATCATTTATAGAAGTACGCCAGAATATACGCTTCCTATGTCCTACTGGAGTTTTTTTTTTTTTACTCATCCTCCACATTTATCCCAGCATTCTGTTCTGTTTACTCTGCCTATCTAAATTCTGCCCTATGAGGCCAAGCAGTTTCTTTATTACTTAACCAATGAAATCAACAGATTGATATATGTATGACACTCCCACATCAGTTTTGGGTAAACATATGGAACATATCAGTGAAAAAAACAAACAATTTTGCCCTAAAAAGTACCCATCACACCAGTTGAAGTGAGGTTTCTGGATAGATTGTGTACACGGCACATATGAAGGTCTACTTTCCTGAAAAAGCATGGGTACATGCACTCAGACTTCCTGCCCTAATTGTTTTGTGCTGCTGTAATGTAATATCACAGATTAGGTAGTTTCTGTAGAAAAGAAATGTATTCCTTCCTGTTCTGGAGGCAGGTAAATCTTGCTGTGTCATCCCAAAGAATATGCAAGCTTACTGAGAAAGCAAGGTCATCATCATAGGGGTCCCTCCTCATGACTTCAAGTGATTCTAATAGCCCAGCACTGATAAAATACCTCCAACACCCAACATATGAACTTCAGGAACTTCAGAGGGCATTACACCATAGCAATATCTGGATAGAAATTATATTCTATGGGGGAAAATGAAGGGGAGAAAAATCACCATAAGATACATAATGTGTTAGAATTGAAAACATAGAACAGACTATCAGATCTGGAAGCACAACCTATAAGCCTAGTGCTATGGAGGCTGAGGCATGAGATCATAAGTTTGAGGACTGCCCCCCTCCCAGTGTGTGTGTGTTAGAAGTTAAGAAGAGGTCAGGAGTGAAGGAAAGAACACGGTTTACACTTAAGTCAGGGAAGGAAATCAAGCCTTTCCTATTCTGTTTTTTCCTTGTTTTTCTGAGACAGAGTCCTATTCTGCAGCTGAAGCTGGCCTCAGATTTGTGACTCTTACCTTTACCTCCTCCCTAGTGCTGGGACTACAGGTGTTTGTTGCTGTGTGCGCCCAGCTAAGATTTTACTTTTGACATTTGATACATCTCTAACTACTTAGAGGAAGGTGTGATTATAGAAATTGAAAGATATGATCATGAATATTATATTCATGTTTTGAATGTGTAGTGTAACTGATTCGTGTTCTATGAAGGGCAGAGGATAGTTACAGCTGCTATCTACCGATAAGGGAAATGGAAGACCCTCAGATTATGTTTAGATTGTGAGTCCTCTGTCTATCTCATGTTCTTATCACACCCTTTAAGACATACCATCTTGGAAAACAGAGGCTGACATAATTTTCTGCAGTCCAATATAGGATTAAAAATACCACCTTTGGGTCCGCTCGGCCTTTCCCCTGCACGGGAGGCAGCCATGGCGCCCAGCCGGAATGGCATGATCTTGAAGCCCCACTTCCACAAGGACTGGCAGCGGCGAGTGGACACTTGGTTCAACCAGCCGGCACGCAAGATCCGCAGGCGCAAGGCCCGGCAGGCAAAAGCGCGCCGCATTGCCCCGCGCCCCGCGTCCGGACCCATCAGGCCTATCGTGAGGTGCCCCACAGTGCGCTACCACACCAAGGTCCGAGCTGGCCGGGGCTTCAGCCTGGAGGAACTCAGGGTGGCTGGTATCCATAAGAAGGTGGCTCGCACCATCGGCATCTCCGTGGACCCAAGGAGGCGAAACAAGTCCACCGAGTCCCTGCAGGCCAACGTGCAGCGCCTGAAGGAGTACCGCTCCAAGCTCATCCTCTTCCCCAGGAAGCCTTCCGCTCCAAAGAAGGGAGATAGTTCGGCTGAAGAACTAAAATTGGCCACTCAGCTAACAGGACCTGTGATGCCCATCCGGAATGTTTATAAAAAAGAGAAAGCCAGAGTCATCACAGAAGAAAACTTCAAGGCTTTTGCCAGTCTTCGCATGGCCCGGGCCAATGCCCGGCTCTTTGGCGTCCGAGCAAAGAGGGCAAAGGAAGCTGCAGAGCAAGATGTTGAGAAGAAAAAGTGATGTGCTTTTGGAATATTGCAATAAATTTTCCATAAAGCAAAAAAAAAAAAATACCACCTTTGGTTTGGTCTGGAGGGTAGGGAGTACATTCTCATGTAGCCCAAACTGGTCTCAAATCTGCAATATTCCTGCCTCTATCTCTTGAGTGTCAGCATTGCAAGCTTGTGCTTGATGTTTGGCCCAAACAATCATTAAAAAATAGTAACTAGGCAACGAGATGGCTCAACTACTAAGAGCACTGGGCTGCTCTTCTATGGAGCCAGGCATCTATTCCCAGTACCCACAAGTTCCAAAATATCTATCACCATCTTTTGGCCTAAGGGGGCTCTAGACACTCAAGTGGTACAAAGACATGCATGCAGGCAAATGCTGTGGTCCACAATACCATACAGTGAGAGGTACAGCTGGAAAATCTCTAGACTAACTCACAGGAGTGTTCCAGTGAGGAAACATGGTTTGCAAAGCTTTGGGAATGCCTGTCTTTTGTCTCGCTTCTGTCATTTCTGTGAAACCATAGCACTCCTTTCTCTAGAGTGGAACTCTTTGCCCAAACCCCCAGCAGTGTATTAATCAATTATTGGGCATAACTCTGTCATGTACCGTTATACTGGATGACTTTTCATTCGGCAGTATAATTTGATATGTAGAATACACACTGAATGCCTTGAATTCTGGGAAAAGCCCCCGAGAAAGGAAAATCTTCTCACTCAGGTGTCAGAAGCGTAGCCTGGCGGCTGGACATGCCAGGCTCCGGATTTTACACTACCACAGCTTCCCCTTTGATCTAGCCGCCTTAGATGTTGTCTCTAGGGCTAGAGATTCCATTCCCTTTAATTAGCAGCATTTGATGAAAATATCAATGTGAACCAAGCGCCGTCAGTCCCCTATGGCAGCGTATGCTGGTTGCCATGGCTACCATAAACACTGTGTTCCCAGTGACCGAAGTGCTTGGAAAGTCAACGCCATGTTTTCCTTCCATCTTTTTCTACATTTACTAATTACAAAGTTCTAGCTTAACTAACCACACAAATGTAGTTAACACACAAACTCCCTTTGCCCATCTTTGAAATCACAGTCCCTTCCTCTGTTTACTCTTTTTCAGAAGGCACTTCACAGCCGTACCCCCTCTGAGACAGAAGTAAACCAACAGGACCCGCCTTGTCAGACCTAATCTGTTTCTGTGGCCCTGTGCCACATTGCTGTTATCATTGCTGTTGCCTAAAGATTGCTAATTGTGTATGAATATGTGCATAAATTAGAAACTTTGTGGGATGGTGGAGAATATCGAGAAAACACACACACACACACACACACACACAGAGAGAGAGAGAGAGAGAGAGAGAGAGAGAGAGAGAGAGAGAGAGAGAGAGAGAGAGAACGAACCCTGGAAGAATCAATGGGACAGAATGAGAAGATTTATGTGAGCTGATTGATACTTTTCACCCTCAGACTCCTTTTATTCAGTTTTCATTTGTTGTTCCTTCTGGATCCTGAGGGGTTCAGAGGGCTGGCATTCCCAATAAACGTCAAAAGGCAAAACACCCATACACATAAAATAAAATGCAATTTAAATACATGAATAATTAAAAATGAATAATTACCTGTGCTCTAGGTACTGGTGTGTCTGTGTATAACCTGAAGAGACCATGCTCAAGGAGCTAGCTTGTGCAAACAGGTGTCCTGTAGGTTTGTTTGTTTCTGGGTCTGGTATTGTTTCATGAATCACCGAATTGAACATGGACAAGATCAGTGTAACCATTTTCATTCTTACCAATGAAGACTAAGAGTTAAATGACTTTCTCCACCTTAGCATATCTTAAAATAGTTTGTTCTACAACCTGGGTTTTCTAATTGAATACACTAGTTTTTTCCTTCCTTTTCCCCTTTTTTATTGTGACAAGAACAGATGATAGGTATTGTGGAATACTAGTTTAAGATGCATTACATTTGTTTATGCTGTGAAATGTTTGTTTAATGATGAAAAGACGTGCTGCATATTTATGTTGCATTTGTTTAACTCTGTGAAACTATGTTACCTTGCATGCCTAAAACACCTGATTGGTCTAATAAAGAGCTGAACAGTCAATAGTAAAGCAGGAGAAAGGATAGGAGGGGCTGGCAGGCAAAAAGAGTAAATAATAGGAGGGGGAAGAGAGAAGAGGAGAGAGCGAGAAAAGGAGGAGGAGAGGAGGATGCCATGGGACAGTCACACAGTCAGTCTCAAAGTAAAAAGGAAATATATATATTAAATATTAAATATATGTATATATATATATATATATATATATATTAGAGAAAAGTACAATCCCAGAGGCAAAAGTTAGATGGGATAATTAGTTAAGAAAAACTGGCTAGAAATATGCCAAGCTAAGGCTGGGCATTCATAAGAAGTCTCTGTGTATTTATTAGGTGGCTAGGTGGCTGGCTCCCAAAGAGTAAAAGAGTAATAAAAAACCCTACACATTGGAGATATAACTTAACAACTATTTAAATACACAGCACGAGTTATTATGTGTAGGCATAGTGTTGAATACTAGTCCAAACCTGCTCATCTTGTGTAATTAGGGCTTTCTCTTCACCAACAACCTCCTTTACCCCTTCTCCTGTCCCCTGGAGCCACACTGCTCTCTGTTTCCATAAGTCTACTGTAGGTTTGTCTTATGAGTGGAACTGTATGGCAATTGCTCTTTGGTAGCTGGCTTATTTCATCCAGCCTAATATCCTTCGGGTTTAACTGTGGTTGAAGCATACAATGGAGTGATTTGGATTTAGTCCATTTTACTATGATTTGCCAAGCAGGACATTAGATTGGCAATGTGTTGTTCTATTTGGGGACAGGGAAGAGACAAAGGCAATAGGTGCCACTCTCACTATCCTTGGCTTTCTGGCTTGCCCCGATGGACTTTGTATGAGCTCCTGTGAAACCTCACCGACCATGAACACTGCCAATGGGAAAGAGACAGATGTAGGAATATGTCTTTCTCTAGAGCAGTGGTTCTCAACCTTCCTAACTCTGTGACCCTTTAATATAGTACCTCATGTTGTGCTGACTCCAACTAAAAATTATTTTTGTTGCTACTTCATAACTGTAATTTTGCTACTGTTTTGAATTGCATAGTAAATATCTGTGTTTTCTATGGTCTTAACCAACTCCTGTGATTGGGTCATTCAACTCCCAAAGGGGTTGTGACCTACTGGTTGAGATCTGCTGCCCTAAAGTCTTCCTCTGAGTGTATTTACAGATTAATGTACACAGTTTAAACTTGAGGAGCCTCTGAAGATTGAACCCTCAGTCTTGTGACCACTAAGCATGCACCCCACTGCTGAACTATACCTCCAGCCTGTTTTAAATTACTTTATGTAAATCAATTGAAAGATCTAAACAAACAAACAAACAAACAAAAATTTCAGCACTCTGGAGGCAGAGGCAGAGGTAGGTGGATCTCTGTGAGTTCAAGACCAGCCTGGTCTACAGCGTGAGTTCCAGGACAGCCAAAGCTACACATAGAGAAACCCTGTCTTGAAAAACCAAAAACCAAACCAAAACAAACAAAAACCAAAACCAAAACAAACAAAAAACCTCAAACGAAACCAAAACCAAATAAAAAAGAAATAAAACAAAATTGCAACAACAAAAAACCAACTAACTTCTGAAGTAAGGATACAAAACTAGTTTGTTTCCCCCCTCAAGCATGGCAGACATTTTTAATCCGGCAGTTGGAGACAGGGCAGGTTTCTCAAGGCTAGCCTGGTTTACTTATCAAGTTCCAGACCATCAAGAGCTACACAGTAAGACTCTGCCTACGAGCAGCAACAGGGGCTCTTTAGCCTTGATATTCAATGATGCTAGTGTTTGATTATTGTCTATCTAAACATATAAGATCTTTAGGAGACAGTGAGCAATTTATCACTAGCTATGTTTCTAGAGAAATGTCTACTTTTTAAAAATTTACTTGAAGAAGATGGAATACCATAAATACAGAAAATCAAAAAGAAGGTTGCTACGTTAAAAAAAATATATATATAGCGACAAAGAAGGATGCAGTTTTACTTCCAGTCAAAGCAAGAATCTGCTTGAAGGAAAACCGTGAGCACCAAACAGAAGTCTCCGGAGGTCAGGGCCTTCCACGAACATGGTCTAGAGCCGGCGGGTGTCTCACGGCGTGTTTTCAATCTGTGCTTTGAGAAACGAGAGGAGCATGGAGCTCTGTCTGGACAGCAGCTTCATGTTTCGACTTTTATCCCTGAATGACTGTGAGGCCTTTCTGGTCTGAAGTTTTATGACACAGAATGAAAACTGTTTATTTTACCCAGGCTTCCACATCCCACACAGGCAAGCCATCCACTCTCACATCCTGGATAAAGTGTAAACAGGATACATCCTTGGGGACCGGATTGAAAAGCAGCCATCACCACTGGAGCCTTTTGTTCCGTGGGTTGCATTAATACTTGATTGTCTCCAGAACTGAGGTTCTATGGTGTGCCCATTTTTTTTATTATTCAATAAATAGTTCAGTAAATAAATGTCAGAAAGGAATCTGTGTTACATTCCAAGTTGCTTGGTGTTGCTTCTGTGATTTTGAAAATGAACATAGCTACCTATTTCGGGTACGGTGATGCTCAATTCAATAAAACATATTTAGAAACCAAAGAAAATCTTTGTTTTTCTTTCCCCATGTACTTTAGGAAAAGGTGGTTTGGTAGATGAAGCATAAAACCCCTTACATTCTACAGCAGTGGTTCTCAACCTTCCTAATGCTGAGCCCCTTTAATACAGTTCCCCATGTTATGGTGTCCCAACCATAAAGACATTTTGTTGTTACTTCATAGCTGTAATTTTTCTACTGTTATGAATTGCAACATAAACAGTATGCAAGATATCTGATATGTGACCCCCAAAGGGGTCATTATCAAGGGCCTTGAGTATCAGCCTCAGTATCCCCTCAGGGCTCAGAATAGGATGTCAATGGCAAGTGAGGATCTGAGGGTAAAAAACTTCT